ATAAAGGGCTACTATCCAAAACCTATAAGGAACATATCAAACTCAACAACCAAAGAACAAATAATCCAATAAAAAAATGGGCAGAAGACATGAAGAGACATTTCTACAGAGAAGACATCCAAATGGCCAACAGACACATGAAAAAGTGCTTAGCATCACTCAGCATCAGGGAAATACAAATCAAAACCACAATGAGATACCACCTCACACCAGTCAGAATGGCTAAAATGAACAAGTCAGGAAACGAGAGATGTTGGTGATGATGCGGAGAAAGGGGAACATTCCTACACTGTTGGTGGGAATGCAAGCTGGTGTAGCCACTCTGGAAAACAGTATGGAGGTGCCTCAAAAATTTGAAAATACACCTATCCTACGACTCAGCAATTGCACTGCTGGGTATTTACCCCAAAGAGACAAATGTAGTGATCCAATGGGACACGTGCACCACAATGTGTATAGCAGCAAGGTCCACAATAGCTAAACTATGGAAAGAGCCTAATCCCCATCTACAGATGAATGGATAAAGAAGAAGTGGTATATATATACAATGGAATATTATGCAGCCATCAATAAAATGAAATCGTGCCATTTGCAACAATGTGGCTGGAACTAGAGGGTATTATGCTAAGCGAAAGAAGTCTATCAGAGAAAGACAATGATCACATGATCTCGCTGATATGTAGAATTTGAGGAATAAGGCAGAGGATCATGGGGGAAGAGGGGAAAAAAGGAAACGGGACGAAACCGGAGAGGGAGACAAGCCGTAAGAGACTCTTAATCCCAGGAAACAAACTGAGGGTTGCTGGAGGGGACAGGGTGGGAGGGGTAGGGTGGATGTGTGATGGACATTGGGGAGGGAATGTGCTATGGTGAGTGCTGTGAATTGTGTAAGACTGAAGAAGACTGGGACAAAATGTTGGCAGATGTGTATCTGATATGGAACATAAAACCTCTTACAACTGAGTAATAATTGATTTTTAAAAAATAACCCAATTTGAAAAATGTGGACAATGGGTCTGAGCAGATATTTCTCTGAAGAAGATATGGAAAAGACCAAAAAGCACACAAAAAGATGCCTAACATCATAACCATCAGGGAAATGGGTATCAAAACCTCCACAAGGAAACATACCCCAACCTCCAAGATGGCTGCATGCACCAAGACAGAGGACACAGAATGTTGGCAAAGACAGGGAGAAATCGGAACCTTCGTGCAGCGCTGGCAGAAACGGGATCGATCAGCCACTTTGGAAAACACTTTGGCAGTTCCTAAAAACACTAGACACAGAGGTATCATCTAGCCCGAAGTTCTCCTCCTGGGTTTCCACCCAACAGAAATGAAAACACAGAAACTGTGTACATAAATGTGCATGGCAGCATTCCTGGTCACCCCTCCAAAGTGGAAGTAGCCATGTGTTCATCTACTGATGAGCTGGTAGTCTGTGCTCTATTCATGCAGTGTAATCCAACAATAACATAGAACGAATTTCAGAAACGTGCTACCGTGTGGATGAATGTAGAAAGTACATGAAATGAAAAAGGAGTCACAAAATACCATGTATTGTACGATGCCGCCTGTCTCAAGTGCCCAGAAGGCAGATCTATAGAGAGAAAGTAAATTAGTGTTTGCCTGGGGCAGAAGGGTGCTGGTGACATGGGGGGGTGTATCCCAAGGTACAGGGTCTCCGTTGGGGGTGATGAAACTGTTCTAAAATACGATTTGAGATGGATATACTAAATATACTATGATATCTTATGTATAAAAATATATAAGAAATGTAAAATATATAAAATAAAATAAGTATATGAAAATAGCATATGCTGAATATACTAAAAACCACTGAATTGTAAACTTTAACTGGTGAATTGTATGGCATATGAATTCTCTCTCCCAACATGCTTACATATATTTAAAGAATCAGCACACGATTCTGAATGAATGTCAGGACCACTTTACCACTGATATCAGTTTGTGAGTGTTCAAATATCACTGAGAAGCTCACATTGGCCAAGCACCGAAACAAATTCCAGATGCGCTAAAGACTTGACAGATACCATGGAACTATGACAATTTGTAAGACAATCCGGGTCCTCGTTGGGCTCCTGGACAGGAAGCGGAGACACTGCAGAGCGACAGGTTTGACCACACCATTTTAGCAAAGGAAATTCAGGGACAGACAACAAAACACCAGGACGCTAAGACCCTGCGAGAAACAGCACCGTGTACACTCACAGGCATCTGATGGCACAGTAGGGATGAAAGGCTTGCGGACCGAATGCTAGTGAGATGTATTCTCACCTAACAAATCAGGCAAGATGGAGATGTGGAAGCAGAGAGGCCACGAGACCCGCATCTTGGTCCCCAGGGCACGACGTGTCAATGACTTTCAGTTTCTCCAAGCACAAAATGTTCATGTCCTTTGAGCCAGGCAGTCAATTTCTGGCATTTTCTCCCAAGGAGAGAATGAGAGAGGTTGTAAGGGATTTGCAACACTGTTCACAGAGCCTTTATTTATGAGGGCAAGGCCATACACACGGTATCCCTGACAGTATCTCCGGCCCAGGTGAAACAGGAGGGGTCACCCCAAGGGTGGTTTCCGAAGGTTCCCCAAAACCTGGACTCAGCCCTGCATTGGTACCAGCTGCCTCATGCAGGGGAGGCAGCCCCTGGCCTTGGCCCCCCATTCTTTATGCACCAGTGAGCCGCACTTGCCCGCTCCCCCAAACTGCTACTCGGGAAATTCTGGAGTCCCTGTAGCTAACTCTGTGGGCTATGCAGTGTGCCCCCTCATTCTGGAACCAGACCGCAGTCTCCTGGCCCCTGGCTAGGCTCTGAACATCAGGGTTGTCTGGGCCAGTACCTCAGGCCCAGGCCGAGAGCTTGGCTGCCTCGGTCACTTCCTGGACCAAGACTGCTCCTTGCTGCCAACACCCCCTTGGGTCAGAGCTTTCTAGGGGTTGACACCGGTTTTCCTCTCCTCTGCCATGACTATCTCGGTTCTGTAGATGGGCCCGTCTGAGTTGGGAGAGGGAGCACATTCTGCCTTTAAAACTGGGCTGATGCCAGAGGGGAAGCTGAGCTAGGGGTGGTCAGGGGCTGCTCACCCTGCCCCACCCCTGGAGTGCAGATGGACAGACAGCTGTCCGTGCGTCCCTGGGCCAGGCGCCAGGCCAAAGACCTCTCATTCTTCGGTCTCACAGAATTTTCACTGTGACCTAGGACAGAGGTGCCTGGGCCTGCTGCCTCAGGAAATCAAACCCCAGTTCACCAAGGCCCCAGGGTGCAGGAGGAGCCTGCACCCCACCTCAAGGCCAGACCCCCGGCTGCAACCTCCACGGCTCCCCCTTCCCAGCTGGATACAGCATCAGCTCAGCGCTGCTGGAAAATACCCATGCACCAGTGTTCACAGCAGCTCTCCTCACAGAACCCGGCTGGCCAGGACAAGCCACGTAACCCACAACAGCCGAGGAGAGACACAAAGTATATGTGCACACACTGGAATATTCCCCAGCTGAGACAAGCAACAAGGTGCTGACACATGCTTTGTACCTCAAAAACGTGTCTGGTGAAAGAAGCCAGCTCGAGAGCACAGATATTGTGAGACATTCAGCATCGCCAGATTCCGAAATCAGACGGTAACCTCCAGGCTGCAACGCTTGGGAAGCGGGACAAGGGGAGGGAGGGACAGCTGGATGGAAAGGGGGTTTTCTCTGGGAAGGGGGGTTCCGCCCACGCAGGGGTGATGGCCGTGCCAGAGCGTGAGTGCTCCCCGTGCCACACCATCTGCTTCCAGGCGGTGGGGGCGGCACACTTCACGCTGCGTGCATTTTGCCCCGATACACACGGCGGAGAGCACGGGGCTGGCCTTCAGGCCCCTGGTGACCTGGCCGACCGACACGGCTCCCTGGGCCTGCCTGCCTCCCTCCCTGGCTGGCTCCAGTCCTCTCCTCTGAGCCTCTGCCCTGGCCCCTGTGACTCAGGCTGTGCCTCCAGTGGCCCGGGTCTGGGCTGCAGGCCGCCCATGGGCAGTTCAGGTGCTGCGGATGGAAGCCGGCTGGCCGTGCGCTCCCCTCACCCCAGCCCCCGTGGGGACCAACGTGGGCCCAGGTGCCAGATAGGACTGGAGCCCCCGCCTTCCAGACGGCGTGAGGCACTTCCCCTCCCTGCCCATGCTCCTGCTCGGGCTCGGGGGGCTCCTCTGAAGTGAGTCCCATCTGCCCCAAATGCTGGCTCCCCGGACCCCACCCCACCAGCCAGACTAACCCCTGGCGACAGACCTACAGAGAAGCCAACACAACCTACACTCCAGGCATCGTACTTCACTCTTTCTCACTTGCTGCAGGGGTTGCTTGACCATTCTAGAAAAATCCTGCTAAGTTAGGCCCCCAGTGCTGTTCTTTGTTTTATAACAGTAACCTCTCCAAATTTCGAAAGGTCACTGGACACGTTTCTGTGGGCTGGCCCAGGGGCTGAACCACCTCCTGCTGCAAGCCTGGGGCTTTGTGCTCAGAGGGAATTCCTGTCATTCCTGGCTGAAGCACGACCCTCTACCTGCCCCAGCTGACCTGCACAGGAGCCCCGGCACAGGAAGGGGAGAGGGGACAGGGCCCTCCAGTCAGGAGCCCAATCTGCTCTCAAGGAGTCATGACCACTCTCTGCTAGCCTCCACAGAAGGGACAGCCCTGGAAACAAACTCAGGAGCTGCATCCTATTAAAAGGGGAACAAACAATGATCCACATGGCTTTCTGAGACCTGCGACAGAGCTGTGAGCAGGTCAGGCTGATGTGGGGGCTGGGCCGCTGCCGGGGCCTGCCAGAGACCATGGGCGACCAAGCACAAAGTTTCCCGGCAGAGGCCAAGTTCCCCATGTGCCTAGATTTCCATGGAGGCAGCTGCCTCTCTCTGGGAGCACGACCTGGGACACATGAGGACGGCTCCGGGTGTGAAATGAACCCTCAGGTCTGAAAGCAAGACTGGATGGGTCTCTCTGGCCACCAGGTCATCCCAGCCCTCAGCATGTCCCATCTCTCCCAGCAGGGACCTGGAGCCTCCTGGCCTCGCACAGGCACCATGCTCCTCAACACGGGCATGCTGCTCGGCCCCTGAGAGCGCCAGGCCAGGCCTCCCAGATGGCGGGGGCGCCCAGAGCTTACCGGCCTCGCCGACGAACACCTCCACGGGCGCGCTGCTGGGCTCTCGCTGATGATGTTGTAGGCCGTCAGGATGACCTCATAACACCGGTGTTTCTCAGAGCTACAGGTGGAAAGAGACAGGGGTCAGCTGGCCCGGGAACACCTCATTCTTCCCACTCCTTGAACATTTAGCTTTGCTGGGCCCTTGTAAGTCTTACCTTCCCTGGTGTCCTTGATGAAATCCCTTTTCCCAGACAACCTATCTCAAATGGCTCCTCCTCTGTGAATCCTCCCCTGATCTTCAGGGGTGCAAGACCCAAAGCCCAAGAGCACTCCATGGGCCACACCCTCTCTATTAACACCTGGGCTGCCACCCCTGTCCGGTCCACCCCAGTGGCTGTGCCTCTTGGAGGTGAGCCCCATCTCCCCTGGCCCTTCAGGGCATTTCCCAGCATGGCTTGCACGGACTGAACATGCACAACAGACCCTCTCCTGGGTGCTCAGGGCACGCCTATGTCAGGACAGGGAAGCGTCTCCCCTGGGACCTCAGCCGAAGCCGAAGGGGTTTTGAGCATCTTGGACACGGTGGCTGAGGATACCTCTGACTCCAGCTCCCAGTAGTAGATCCCATATTCCTGAAGAAGGCTGTTCAGGCTCTCGTCTGTTGGATGCTGCACATACATCAAGGTCAGCCCGCCCACGGGGTCTCGAGACCTCCGCTTCAAGTTGAATCAGCCAACTACGCTGGAGGAAGTCACTAATCCAAACAGGGGTTCTAGGTTGTTTACAGACAAAAAGGCAGGTGCCACATTCATGAAGAGGAGCACAGGGGCCCCCAGATAGAGGATCAGACCCCAAGAGCCCGGGTTTCCTGGTGCTGGTGTGTGGTACATGGACACTGAGCATTTTATACCGAATACTTGGTAGGACCCCAGGCTAAGGCGGGGACTACGGCCCAGGTAGCAGGTGGGCAAAGATGCTGCCCAATGCCTAGTGAAACCAAAACTCTAAGGGAACTATGCATGTGGGCTGGTTCTGCATCATCTACTGGCTGGCCACACCCTGTCACTGACAGCCACCCAGGTTCGTGGCACCCTCACTGGGGGCGGGGGGGGGGGGGCAGTGAGTGCTCTGCATGCCAGATCACCCCTATTCTGCCCTGACTCAGACCTAAGCTGGAAGCCCCGTGGTCCCTCCAATGTCAGGTGGCATAGGAAAGGCCTAGGGTAGGGCAGGTGCTTATCTGACGTTTTGAGACCCTGTGGAACGTGAATGGTGGTAGCCAGGCTGTGAATCTCAGAATTTAACCCACACCAGGATGCACACAGGGATGCCCAGCTCACATTCTCCCTCCCGTCAATTTGTTGGTTAATTAGTCTGGGGAGGGCTGCAGCAGCCAGAGTGCAGGCCAGGGGGCCAGGGGCTCTGGGTCCCGGGTCTCTGGAATACTCAGCAAATAAGGACAAGAACCGCTCAAGCTGCGACCAGACAGATGAACAAAGGGCACGCCCAGGACCCCTGGCTGCAGCAGGGTGGTGAAGCTTGTCCAGAGACAGGGATGCACGCTGAATTCCCCGTTATGCCTACATAGCCGCTGTCCATAGGACGCCGCCAGCATCTTAGGAAATGCTGTCCTGGTCCCAGAGTAGAGGCCACAGCTTTGTTGTAGGAAAACTCCTCTGTTGTGCATTGAACTGTGTCCTCCTAAAAGATACGTTGGTGTCCTTACCCCTGTTACCTGTGGAAGCCAGCTTATATGGGCACAGGGTTTTGCAGACTTTGCAGTTAAGAGCAAGTCACGGTGCAGTAGGAAGCACCCTAATCCAGGGACTGGTTTCTTTTTTGGAGGACAATTTGGTTTTATTTATCAAGGTTTTCAATGCATTTGCCTTTTAACCCAACAATTACAACTTCTAGAGATCTACCTGACATAAATGCATATATAGAGTCCTGGGTCCTACAAATACAAGCTAAACTTACCAATGCCCCCCAAACCCCAAAACAAAGTATCTAGGGGTCTTTTCAATGACACCTAAAGTCAAGAGGACCACCTTCAAGCTTGAAGGTGTCACTAATAGCAAAGCTGCTTGCAAATGTAACTGCAAAGTCTGGACAGATAAGCATGAGCAAGGTATTATAATAGCTAATTCACACGGCAAGCCCAAGTGTTCCACATGATCAGTTGCTGAACACGAAGAAAAGGCATAGTTTGAGAAGCAATTTAGAATCCAGCAATCATTTAACAAATACTGAGGCAATAAGGAGATCCAAACATCCTTAGAAGAGGAGAGAGATTGCACATACCCCTGGGAGGGCATCCTTTGAGCACAGAAGCAGAGACTGGAGCCATGTTTGCAATGTTGTGACTTGTAAGAAGAATATCTATTTAGCCATTCAGATGAGAAAACTTGTTTCTCATATACATGTCTTTGTCCAGAGTGACAAAGGTGTCGCATCATGTTAATGTCCTGGCTGGTCACCAGGACAACCAACCTTGTGATCAGAGGGTTGGAACTTTTGGTCCCGTCCATGACTTCTGAGGATGGCAGAGGGGCTGGAGGTTCAATCGATGGCCAATGGCCAATGCTTTCATCAGTCTAGCCTGTGGAATGAAGCCTCCACAAAAACCCTAGAGGACAGGTTCGGCCTGATGTGTGGAAGTAGAGAGAGCAAGGGGGTTGCAATGCCTGGAAGGTGGCCAGAACGTGGCAAGAGCTCAGTGCACACCGGCCTCTTTTCCCTTCTATCTTTGGTAGGTTTCGAATCGGCCCTTTGGATTGTTTTTCAAGCACTCTGGGTTCAACCCCTGCCTCACGTAGACCATCTGCTCTAGATCTTGTCCTAGGGTGATCACATTCTGGGATGCTGGCTCACACTCTGAGCGCAGCCATGGCACCAGCTCTGCCCCTGGAGGTCTGTGGACCATGGGGCCCTGCGGGTGCTTCCCAAGAAGCCACCAGGTGGGCTCCCGGGCAAAGAGAGGGGAAGGGTCTTGCCTAAAGTCACACATCTCCAAAACCTGGTGCTAGGCACTACCAGATGGGAAGCGGGACAGGTCATCTCTCCGAGCCCACCCGTCGGTCCTGCGTGCAAGTGCCTCCCTGTTGTCCTCTTCCCTCAGACCTCTGGGCCTGGCCCTGACCTCCACACCTGGACTTGGGGTGACCCTGGGGATGGAGCCCACTGAGGAGATTCCACAGCGAGGCTGAAAGGCAGGTCAGAGGCTCGCTGAGATGGGAACTCACAGAAGATTGGTGTGGGAAGAGGGGGTCTGGGGGGTGTGTGGAGGGTGTTCACATCACTGCCCCACAGCTGCGTCCCCGGCAACTGACTGAATCTGTCTGGGCCCCCACTTGTTCTGTAGAACTGGGGCTCACAGTGCTTTGTTCCCCAGGCTTTGGTGAGGATAAAGCAAGACAATGTACAATAAGCACCTCGCCAGTGTTTGGGACAGAAGCGGCGTCCATGAAGACAGATCTCCCGAGGACTGCTCCACAGGAAACTTTACTGAGCACCTGCTCAGCTGGGCACGTGGTTTTGAACATCAGAGACCAAGTGCCTGCCTTCAGGGAGCTGCCCTCCAACACGGTGACTCAGAGCCACCCTGGGCCAGTTACACAACCTCTCTGAGCCCAGTCTCCAGCATTAAACCGGGGACATTCCTGCCTGGCTGATAAACGTCAGGTTGTGTAGACATGTGACGGTACAGGGCCTGACCTGGAAGCCGTGGACCCTGCAAGTTCCCGGCTCCGTTTCCTGCCCAGCTCTCCTCCCCGTAGCACCACGACAGTGGACTTGGGCCTCGGGCCTTACCTCTCTTCTCAGTGGTGATGACGGGGCCCTCCAGCGGTTCGCCCAGCCCTGCCTCGTCTTGGCCGGCAGCCTGAAGATGTATGCCGACTCTGGGGCCAGCTCGGTGTCGTGAACTACCTCTCAAGGCACCCACCTCCACCGTGGTGAATGTGCTGGGGTTGCTCCTGGCCAGGTGGTAGGTGATCTGGTACCCTGCGGGGGGGACAGGAGGACCATGAGTCAGTGACATCACCCCCTCATGAACCCTGCACTCCTGCCACCCCGCCACCACCACTCCGCTTTCTTTCCCCGACATCCTTCCTCCTCTGCCGGCATCTGAGAGGGAAAGCACTGCCGCGGTGACAGATGCAGCCTCTGAGCGCTGGGCCCCCATGACACAATGGCCCCTCCTGAGGACCGCGGCTCCACAGCCAGGCCCGCAGCAGGGACGCAGGTCCTGCCTCCCATGGACCTCTCTGCTCCGCACTCTCCTCCCTTCTGTTCATCACAAACAGGCAGGAGCCAGTCTGGGTCCATCCAGCCAACTCCTAGTGGGCCTACAATCCTAGCACTGACCCAGAAAACCTTCCTCCAGCCCCTCAAATGGCACGGAGTGACTTCTCCTCTCTGTTCTGCTCACCATGTACTTGTTGACAGGCCACACGCCTTGATGGGAACCTGGGTCCCTGGACACCGGGACTGCATCTATCTTGGCCTCCCCCCAAAGCCCTTGCCTTGCCCAGGGCAGGCACTCAGGAAAGATGACATGAATGGAGGGGCAGGGTTTCAGGTCCCCGCCAACACTGGTGAAGGATTCTCTTCTCTCAGCAGGGCCTGATTTTCGGGTTTCACAATAATGACTTGGCCATTTTCAAACACAGACAGGGATCAAATGATCATTCTGTAATCCCCCCAGCAATGCAAAGCGGCTTGCAGGGGTGTGTCCCTACACTGGCTTCAGGCCCCTGCTGGTGAGATGATCTTGTTCCAGGTCTCACAATTTCACCCCAGGGCACCTGATCTACCCACAGCTCACAGCCAGATGCTATGGGTGTGACCGGGCTACCGTGCAAAGAGGGATGTTCTGTCTCATTCTATGACCTCCCCTAGCACAAGGTAAATCCCAACCACAAAATCACCATGTGAGGCACCGAGACTGCGTACCCCTTCATTTTTTAACACCAAGAGTAAGTACCAACTTAGGAAATTACCAGAGGTTCCTGAACATAGGATTCTCCCTAGAATTTTGTAAATGTAACAGGTTTCAGGCCACGCCATTTGTTCCATTTGGTGTTTTTGTGACGGGCACTGCCTAGGCCACAATGTGGGGCATTGACAGGTCCCCTGTGACAGGCGCCACGAACACAAGTGAGCAGTGGGAGGGAACGATGGCTATTGCAGAGCAGGTGCGTCCATGGGGCACAGCCTGGGGTCCCCCTCAGTCAGCAATCACATGGCCCTCCTGCTCCCATTCCCCAAGCTACTCACCTCATTCTCCCTGAGAATAGTCACACCAAGGCTATTCAAAACCACGATTTCTAGTTGGCTAACATATCACAACGGACACCACCAAAACAAAGGCTCAAAGGAACTATTGTGAAAAGTACACAGCAACAATTTGGACAACCTCAAAGAATCAGAGCTTTATTTATTCATATTTATGTTATAAGTTTTCATTTAAATTCTAGTTCCTTGTGGCACCTGATGGCTCAGTCGGTTGAGCGTCCAACTCTTGGTTCCGGCTTAGGCTGTGATCTCAGGGGCATGCGACCGAGCCCCAAGCCAGGCTCCAAGCTCAGCACGGAGTCTTCTTGAGACTCTCTCTCTCCTCCTCTCCCTCTGCCCGTCCTGCTCCTGCTGTCCACAGTCCCTCGCTCTCTCATATAAATAAAATCTTAGGGGCGCCTAGGTGGCTCAGTCATTAAGTGTCTGCCTTTGGCTCAGGTCATGATACCAGGGTCCTCGGATCGAACCCCACATGAGGCTCCCTGCTCAGCAGAAAGCCTGCTTCTCACTCCCCTAATCCCCCTGCTGGTGTTCCCTCTCTTGTTGTGTCTCTCTCTGTCAAATAAATAAAATCTTGAAAAAAAAAAAGTAAAAAAAAAAAAATCTTAAAAATAATAAATAAATTCGAATTAGTGACATACACAGTACAGTATTAGTTGCAGGAACAGAATTCAGTGATTCAACACTTACATAAAGCACCCAATGCTCATCGTATCAGCAATTTACAACCTCCCAAAAACCAAGTTCCAGGACCAGATTCCTTTACTGGTGAATTCTTCCATTCAGGGAAGAATTCATACCAATCCTTCTCAAACATTTCCAAAAAACAGAAGAGAAAGCTTCCAAAATCATTTCCTGAGGCCAACATTATCCTGATACCAAATCCAGACAAGGACCCCCCAAGAAAAGAAAATTACAGGCCAATATCCATGATGAACACAGAGGCAAAAATGTTCAACAAAATACTAGCAAACCAAGTTCACAAATATGCTGAAAGGATCATATGCTATGATCAAGCAGGATTTGTTCTAGGAATGCAAGGAGGGTTCACACGTGCACATCAACCCAAGTGATCCATCACGTTAACAAAATGAAGAATAAAAATCATGCTACCATCTCGAGAGATGCACAGAAAGCATTTGAAAAAACTCAACATCCATTTACGATCAATATTCTCAACAGCGTGAGTAGAGCAGGAACATACCTCAACATGATAAAGGCCATACAGGACAAGCCCACAGATAACATCACATCCAAGAGAGAAAAGTTTTAGCTGTTACTATTTCCTCTAAGATCCTCTACGTTAGGAACTTTCCTGGTCTTTCCTCGCCACTTTTATTCAACATAGTATCGGAAAACCTAGGCAGAGCAATTATGCAACAAAAATAAACAGAAGGCATCTAAATTGGAAAGGAAAAAGTAAAACTTTCACTATTTGCAGATGGCAGAGTATATAAGGAAAACCTTAAAGACTCCATGGAAAAACTGTTTGAACTAACAACCGAATTCAGTAAAGGTACAGGATGCAATATCAATATACAAAAACCTGTTGCATGTCTATACACTAATAACGAACTATCAGAAAAAGAAATTGGGAAGATCATCCCACGTGAAGTTGCATCAAAAAGAATAAAATACCCAGGAAGAAACTTCACCAAGAGGTGAAAGCTTATATACTGAAAACTACAAGACATTAAGGAAAGAAAACGAAGACAACACATGGAAATGGAAAGATATTCCATGCTCTTGGATTAGAAGAATTCATAGTGTTAAATTCTCCACACTTCCCAAACCACCTACAGATTCAATGCAATTCCTATCAAAATTGTAATTCTATTTTTCACAGAAATACAACAAAGGACCCAAAAATTTGTATGAAGCCACAAAAGACTCTGAATAGCCAGAGCAATCTAGAGAAAGAAGAACAACGCTAAAGGCATCACACTCACTGATTTCAGATTATTGCAAAGCTAGAGTATTCAAGACAATCTAGTGTTGGCAAAAAACCAGACACACACAGAGCACCAGAACAAAAGAGAGAGCCCAGAAGGAAACCCACATATCTAAGGTCCAGTACCTTACCACCAAGGAGCCAAGAATATACAAGGGGGAAAGAACAGTCTCTTTAATCAACAAGACTGGGAAAAGTGGACAGTCACATGCAGAACAATGAAACCACACCACTATCTTACACTACACACAAAAATTAACTCCAAATGCATTCAAGAATTGAATATAAGACCTGAAACCCTAAAACTCTTAACAGAAAACACAGGGAAAAGCCACTTGACGTAGGTCTTGGTAGTGATTTTTTAACCTGATACCAAAAGTAAAAACAATTTAAAAAGTGTGGGACGACATCAGACTAAAAATCTTCAAAACAGCAAAGGAAACCATCAACAAAATAAAAAAGCAACCTACAGTATGGGAAAACATTTGCAAATCATATATCTGATAAGGGGTTAATATCCAAAATACAAAAACTCATGCAACTCAACAGCAGAACAAAACAAAACAAAACAAAACCACAGGAAAAAAAAAAAACCCACAAGCAATCTAATTGAAAAATAGGGAGATCCAAATAGACATGTTTCTAAAGAAGAGCTACAGATGGTCAACGCACATGAAAAGATGCTCAACATCATTAATCATCACGGAAATGCAAATCAAAACCACAATGAGACACCACTTCACACCTGTTAGAATGGCCATTACCAAACAGACAAGAAATGACAAGTTTTGGTGAAGATGTAAAGAAGACGAAAACTCTTGTGCACTGTTAGTGGGAATATAAATTGGTGCAGCCACAAGGGGAAACAGTACAGATGATCCTCAAAAAAATTAAAAAGAGAACTCCTGTAAGATCCAGGAATTCCCCTTCTGAGTATTTATCCGAAGAAAATGAAAACATTAACTCAAAAAGGTATATACACCCCTGTGTTCACTGCAGGGTTATGTACAACAAGGAAACTAGAAACAACCTAAGTGCCCATGGGTGGATGAATGAATAAAGAAATTGTGGTAGATACACACGCTGGATACTACTCAGCCAGAATAAAGAATGAAATCTTTCCACTTGCACCATGGCTGGACCTTAAAGGCATTCTGCTAAGTCAAACAGGCCAGACAGAGAAAGAGTCCATCGTCTCTCATGGTTCATCTCCCCCTCCGATTCCCCCCCACTTCATTCTTCCCTATCCTGCTATTTTCTTCTTTTTTTTCTTTAACATATAATGTATTATTTGTTTCAGAGGTACAGATCTGTCATTCAACAGTCTTCACAATTCACAGCGCTCACCATAGCACATACCCTCCCCAATGTCTATCACCCAGCCGCCCCATCCCTCCCACCCCCCACCACTCCAGCAACCCTCAGTTTGTTTCCTGCAATTAAGAATTCCTCATATCAGTGAGGTCATATGATACATGTCTTTCTCTGATTGACTTATTTTGCTCAGCATAACACTCTCCAGTTCCATCCATGTTATTGTAAATGGCAAGATTTCATTCCTTTTGATGGCTGCATAATATTCCATTGTATATATACACCACTTCTTCTTTATCCATTCATCTGTCGACGGACATCTTGGCTCTTTCCAGTTTGGCTATCGTGCACATTGCTGCTATAAACATCTGGGTGCACGTACCCCTTCGGCTCCCTACATTTGTATCTTTGGGGTAAATACCTAGTAGTGCAATTGCTGGATCATATGGTAGCTCTATTTTCAACTATTTGAGAAACCTCCATACTGTTTTCCAGAGTGGTTGCACCAGCTTGCATTCCCACCAACAGTGTAGGAGGGTTCCCCTTTCTCTGCATCGCCACCAACATCTGTCATTTCCTGACTTGTTCATTTTAGCCATTCTGACTGGTGTGAGGTGATATCTCATTGAGGTTTTGATTTGCATTTCCCTGATGCCGAGCGATGTTGAGCACTTTTTCATGCGTCTCTTGGCCACTTGGGATGTCTTCTTTCGAAAAATGTTCATGTCTTCTGCCCATTTCTTGATCAGACCATTTGTTCTTTGGGTGTTGAGTTTGATAAGTTCTTTATAGATTTTGGATACTAGCCCTTTATCTGATATGTCATTTGCAAATATTCTCCCATTCTGTCACTTATCTTTTGGTTTTGCTGACTGTTTCTTTTGCTGTGCAAAAGCTTTTTATCTTGACGAGGTCCCAATAGTTCATTTTTGCCCTTGCTTCCCTTGCCTTTGACGATTTTTCTAGGAAGAAGTTGCTGCGGCTGAGGTCAAAGAGGTTGCTGCCTGTGTTCTCCTTTAGGATTTTGGTGAACTCCTGTCTCACATTGAGGTCTTTCAACCATTTGGAGTCTATTTTTGTGTGTGGTATAAGGAAATGGTCCAGGTTCATTCTTCTGCATGTGGCTGTCCAATTTTCCCAACACCATTTGTTGAACAGACTTTTTGCCATTGGACATTCATTCCTGCTTTGTTGAAGATGAGTTGACCACAGAGTTGAGGCTCCATTTCTGGGCTCTCTATTCTGTTCCATTGACCTATGTATCTGTTTTTGTGCCAGTACCATACTGTCTTGATGATGACAGCTTTGTAATAGAGCTGGAAGTCTGGAATTGTGATGCCGCCAGCTTTGCTCTTCTTTTTCAACATTCCTCTGGCTATTCAGGGTCTTTGCTGGTTCCATACAAATTTTAGGATTATTTGTTCCATTTCTTTGAAAAAAGTGGATGGTATTTTGATGGGGATTGCATTGAATGTGTAGATTGCTCTAGGTAGCATTGACATCTTCACAATATTTGTTCTTCCAATCCATGAGCATGGAACATTTTTCCATTTCTTTGTGTCTTCCTCAATTTCTTTCATGAGTATTTTATATTTTTCTGAGTACAGATCCTTTGCCTCTTTGGTTAGATTTATTCCTAGGTATTTTATGGTTTTGGGTGCAATTGTGAATGGGATTAACTCCTTCATTTCTGTTTCTTCTGTCTTGTTGGTGTATAGGAATGCCACTGATCTCTGTGCATTGATTTTATATCCTGCCACTTTGCTGAATTCCTGTGTGAATTCAGGCAGTTTTGGGGTAGATACATAAAGTATCATATCATCTGCAAAGAGTGAGAGTTTGACTTCTTCTTTGCCAATTTGGATACCTTTGATTTCTTTTTGTTGTCTGATTGGTGTGGCTAGGACTTCTAATACTATGTTGAATAGCAGTGGTGATAGTGGACATCCCTGCTGTGTTCCAGACCATACAGGTAAAGCTCTCAGTTTTTCCCCATTGAGAATGATATTCGCTGTGGGTTTTACATAGATGGCTTTTATGATACTGAGGTATGTACCCTCTATGCCTATACTCTGAAGAGTTTTGATCAAGAAAGGATGCTGTACTTGTCAAATGTTTTTTCTGCATCTATTGAGAGGATCATATGGTTCTTGTTCTTTCTTTTGTTAATGTATTGTATCACATTGATCGATTTGCGGATGTTGAACCAACCTTGCAGTCCAGGGATAAATCCCACTTGGTCATGGTGAATAATCCTTTTAAAGTACTGTTGGATCCTATTGGCTAGTATTTTGGTGAGAATTTTTGCATCCATGTTCATCAAGGATATTGGTCTGTAATTCTCCTTTTTGATGGGGTCTTTGGTTTGGGGATCAAGGTAATGCTGGCCTCATAAAATGAGTTTGGAAGTTTTCCTTCCATTTCTATTTTTTGGAACAGTTTCAAAAGAATAGGTATTAATCCTTCTTTAAATGTTTGGTAGAATTCCCCTGGGAAGCCATCTGGCCCTGGGCTTTTGTTTGTTGGGAGATTTTTGATGACTGCTTCAATTTCCTTAGCGGTTATAGGTCTGTTCAGGTTTTCTATTTCTTCCTGGTTCAGTTTTGGTAGTTGATACATCTCTAGGAATGCATCCATTTCTTCCAGGTTATCGAATTTGCTGGCATAGAGTTGCTCATAATATGTTCTTATAATTGTATTTCTTTGGTGTTGGTTGTGATCTCTCCTCTTTCATTCATGATTTTGTTGATTTGGGTCATTTCTCTTCTCTTTTTGGTAAGTCTGGCCAGGGGTTTATCAATCTTGTTAATTCTTTCAAAGAACCAGCTCCTAGTTTCGTTGATCTGTTCTACTGTTCTTTTAGTTTCTATTTCATTGATTTCTGCTCTGATCTTTATGATTTCTCTTCTCCTGCTGCGTTTAGGCTTTATTTGCTGTTCTTTCTCCAGCTCCTTTAGATGTAGGGTTAAGCTGTGTACTTGAGACCTTTCTTGTTTCTTGAGAAAGGCTTGTATTGCTATATACTTTCCTCTTAGGACCACCTTTGCTGCATCCCAAAGATTTTGAACAGTTGCGTTTTCATTTTCATTGGTTTCCATGAATTTAATTCTTCTTTGATTTCCTGGTTGACCCATTCGTTCTTTAGTAGGATGCTCTTTAGCCTCCACGTATTTGAGTTCTTTCCAACTTTCCTCTTGTGATTGAGTTCTAGTTTCAAAGCATTGTGGTCTGAAAATAGGCAGGGAATGATCCCATTCTTTTGGTACCGGCTGAGACCTGATTTGTGACCTAAGATGTGATCTATTCTGGAGAATGTTCCACAGGCACTAGAGATGAATGTGTATTCCACTGCTTTGGGATGGAACGTTCTGAATACATCTGTGAAGTCCATTTTTTCCAGTGTGTCATTGAAAGTCTTTATTTCCTTGTTCATCTTTTGCTTAGATGATCTGTCCATTTCAGTGAGGGGGGGTATTTAAGTCCCCTATTACTGTATTGTTGTCAATGTGTTTCTTTTCTTTTGTTATTAATTGGCTTACATAAGTGGCTACTCCCATGTTAGGGGCATAGATATTTATAATTGTTAGATCTTCTTGTTGGATACAGACCCTTTAAGTATGATATAGAGTCCTTCCTCATCTATTATTTCACTCTTTGGATTAAAATCTGATTTGTGGGGTTTAAGGATTCTTTTAGTGTCCAGCTTTCTTTTAGTGTCCGTTAGCATGGTAAATGGTTTTCCACCCCCTCACTTTCAATCTGGGGGTGTCTTTGGGTCTAAAATGAGTCTCTTGCAGACAGCATATCGATGGGTCTTGTTTTTTTATCCAATCTGATACCTGTGTCTTTTGATTGGGGCATTTAGCCCATTTACATTCAGGGTAACTATTGAAAGACAGGAATTTAGTGCCATTGTGTTGCCTGTAAGGTGACTGTTACTGTATATTGTCTGTGTTCCTTTCTGGTCTATGTCACTTTTAGGCTCTCTCTTTGCGTAGAGGACCCCTTTCAATATTTCTTGTAGAGCTGGTTTTGTGTTTGCAAGTTCCTTTAGGTTTTGTTTGTCCTGGAAGCTTTTTATCTCTCCTATTTTCAATGACAGCCTAGCTGGATCTAGTATTCTTGGCTGCATATTTTTCTCATTTAGTGCTCTGAATATATCATGCCTGTCCTTTCTGGCCTGCCAGGTCTCTGTGGATAGGTCTGTTGCCAATCTAATGTTTCTACCATTGTAGGTTACATGTCTCTTCTCCCGAGCTGTGCTCAGGATTTTCTCTTTGTCTCTGAGACTCGTAAGGTTTACTCTTAGATGTTGGGGTGTTGATTTATTTTTATTGATTTTGAGAGGGGTTCTCTATGCCTCCTGGATTTTGATGGCTGTTTCAAATAAGAAAAAAAGAGAAGACAGTTGAAAAGAAATTAACCTTGAAAGACTAAAAAATCATGGTAAAAAGGCCATGAATTCTATGTGCTGTATTCCCCTAGCGGTGGAGTTCTGCCATTCTCCTTGTTCGGCAAACTTGGTCTTGGCTGGCTGTTCTTGCTGATCTTCTGGGGGAGGGGCCTGTTGTCGTGGTTTCCAAATGTCTTTGCCGGAGGCGGAATTGCCCCTACCCTTGCCCAGTCCGGGCTAAGTAATCTGCTCGGGTTTGCTCTCGGGAGCTTTTGTTCCCTGTAAGCTTTCCGTGCAGCTTTGGAGGACAAGAGTGAAAATGGCGGCCTCCCAATCTCCGCTACGTAGGAGCCAAGAACTCGGGGCCCCGCTCCTCAGTGCATCCCCAGAGAAAAGTAGTCAATCACTCCCATCTCCCTGGTCTCCGGCCTCACTCCATGCTCACCTGGCCTGTGACCAAGCGTTTCTATCTCTGGCACACGACCCCATGTGGAGTCTCCAAACCCAGCAGATCCCTGTGGTGCGCTCCCGCACCGCTCCCCCCAGGGGAGGAAGGGGAGTCTCCCCGGATCTGCTGCTTGTTTGGGTCCCTGCTGGAGAAGCAGTGGCCCGACTGTGCCACAGATCACGGTTTATGGCAACCCTGAGCTGAGAGCCCACTGCTCGGCTCCATCTCTGCAGCCGGCCTCCCCGTTCCAATACCTGGGAGCTCTACCGCACTCAGGCACCCCTCATTCTTCCTGTGACCCTGAGGGTCCTGAGACCACACTATCCTGTGAGGGTTCCACCCCCTGCTTAGCCACTGGAGCAACGCCCCTCAGCAGAGCCGACTTCTGAAAGTTCAGATTTTGTGCTCCGTGGCTCTATCACTTGCCAGAAGCCGCCGACGGAGGTCCCCTCCCCCGCCCCACCATCTATCCTCCCGAATATCACCATGGATTCACTTCTCCGCACATCCTACCTTCCAGAAAGTGGTCGCTTTTCTGTTCAGAGAGCTGTTGCTATTCTTTTCTTCGATCTCCTGTTGAGTCCGTAGGTGTTCAGAATGGTTTGATCCCTATTCAGCTGAATTCCTGGGACCAGACCTGTAAGAGACTCTCGATGATAGAAAACAAACTGAGCATTGATAGAGGCAAGGTGCACAGGGGATGGACTCTCTGGGTGATGGGGATTAAGGAAGGCACGTGTTATGATGTGCACTGGTTGTTGTACGCAAATGATGAATCACTGAATTCTCCTGAAACCAATATTGCACTGTATGTTACATAACTAGAATTTAAATGAAACTTTGAAAAGAAAAAAAAAATCTGAAAAGAAAATACATTTACAGCAATAGCTGTATTTACTGAAAAAAAAGCATGTCTTAACTGGACCACACAGTTCAAACCCACGTGGGCCATGGGTCAACTGTAGTACTGAAAATCCTAATCAGAGCAATTACATAAGAAAAATAAATAAATAAAAGGAATCCAAATTAGAAAGGAAGAAGACCACTATTTTCAGATGACATAATATTATATGTAAAATAACGTAAAAACAACACCAAAAAGTATTAAAATATACTCAGTAAAGTTGCAGGATAAAAGATACATAAAAATCTATTGCATTTTATACACTAAAAATGAACTGTCAGAAAAATAAATTTAAAAAACAATCATAGTAACAACGGCATCAAAAAAAAATAATAATAAAGTACTTAAGGATAAATTTTCCCAAGGAGGTGAAAGCTGATACACGGAAATCTACAAGACATTAAGGAAAGAAACTGAAGACAGGGCACCTGGGTGGCTCAGCCGGTTAAGCGTCTGCCTTCGGCTCAGGTCATGATCCCAGGGTCCTGGGATCGAGCCCCACATCGGGCTCCCTGCTCCACAGGAAGCCTGCTTCTCCCTCTCCCACTCCCCCTGCTCATGTTCCCTCTCTTGCTGTGTCTCTCTCTGTCAAATAAATAAATAAAATCTTTTAAAAAAAAACTGAAGACAACACAAGAAAATGGACATTCCATGCTCATGGATCAGAAAAATTAAGTGTTAAAATGTCTATACTACCCAAAGCCATCTAGAGATTCAGTACAATTCTTATCAAAATTTCAAACACATTTTTAAAAGACATAAAGCACAGAATCTTTCATAATTGCATGGAACCACAAAAGACTCTGAATAGCAAAAGCAATCTTAAGAAAGAACAAAGCTGGAAGCATCAGGCTCCTTAGTTTCAAACTCTATTACAAACCTACAGTAATTGCTGGCATACTGGCATAAACACAGACACACAGATCCCCAGCCCAGAAGAGAGAGCCCAGAAGGAAACCCACACATCTATGGCCCAGTACCTTATGACCACAGAGCCAAGAAAATACAGGGAGGAAAGAACAGTCTCTTTAATCAAGGGTACTGGGAAAACTGGACAGCCCCATGCAAAAGAATGAAACTGCACCACTATCTTACATTATACTCAAAAATTAACTCCAAATGCACTCAAGAGTTGAATATAAGACCTGAAACCCTAAAACTCTTAGCAGAAAACATAGGGAAAAGCTGCTCAACATAGGTCCTGGTAGTGATTTTTGTGGCTCACACTCCAGAAGCAAAGGCAACAAAAGCAAAAATAAGAAAGTGCATCTACATCAAACTCAACAAAGAAAATCACCAACAAAATAAATAGGCAACCTACTACCTCAGAGAAAAGATTTGCAGATCATAGATCTGAAAAAGGTTACTATCCAATATATAGAAAGAACTCTTACAATTCAATAACACCAACAAAAACAATGTGATTAAGAAGTGGAAGGATTATCCAAATGGACATTATCCAGAGAAGACATCCATAGAGCCAACAGGTAGATGAAAAGGTGCTCAACATCATGAATCATCAGGGAAATGCAAATCAAAACCACAATGGCATACCACCTCACACTGGTTAGAAGCGCTAGTATCAAAAAGATGAGAAATAAAAAACGTTACCGAGGATGTGGGGGAAAGGGAACCCAGGTGCACTGTTGGTGGGAACCTAAGTAGGTGCATCCACTGTGGAAAACAGTATGCAGACTCCTCAAAACATTAAAACTAGAACGACCCTACAATCCAGCAATTTCTCTCCTGCCATTTAGCCAAAGAAAACAAAAATACCTATTTGAAAAGATGTATGAACGCCCATGTTCACTGTAGCATTATTCATAACAGCTAAGATAAGAGGACAACCTACGTGTCCATGGAGGGATGAATCGATAAGGAAGATGTGGTGCATGTAGACACTGCAATACTCTTCAGCCGTAACAAAAAATGAAATCTTTCTTTTTTGCAACAACATGGACGGACCCTGAGGGCATGATGCTAAGTGAAAGAAGTCAAAGACAAATACTGTATGATCTCACTTTTATACGGAATCTAAAAAACCACCGCCGTTACATCTGTGCCCCTTGTTAAGCACTGCAAGTGAATAAAGACAACAACGGTAACAGAAATAGAGAATACTTATCCCTCTGTATTCCTCTGTTAGGCCCTGTTCTAAGCTGTAAGGTGCAGAGCCAAGCATGGAGGCATGAGGGTTTCAGATACGCCCCAATCATGGAGAGCTTGGAAGCACAGGGTTTGGAGCTGCAAAGACAAGGGCTTGAAATCTGGTTCCAAGCATTATCTGCGTCTCTAAGACTCAGAGGCCTATCAGGATCCTAGCCCACTGAGATGTGCAAACTGATAAAGGGTGTAGAATGCTTAGCCAGCGCCAGGCACAGAGCAGCTCCTCAATTAACTCATGATGATAATCATGAGGATGGCAATCACGGTGTTCCTTCCCCAGCACTAACGATAACAATAACCAATATTTGTATAATACTAATCCCAAACGCTGGTACTGCGCTTATCCCATGCCAGGAACCATGGTCTACACTGACTTTGGAAATGGATCCTATTTACTAATTCAGTAAATCCTCCAAACAAGCCTATATAGGTACTATTTGCAGGTCCAGCTGTCAAAGGAGAATTCTGAGGCACAGAGATTACATACCTTGCCCAAGATCACGCAGCTGGAAGTGCAATAATAGGAATGACAACCTGTTCCATGAACCAGTCTAGACAAAGCCTGTTACCTATGTTGAATCTACACCATAACCCTAAGGTTTTGCTGTTCTGCCCACTTTACAGATGGAAAGACTGAGGCTCAGGCCCAGGGCCGAGGCCAAACTCACCTGGCCTCCCCGATGCAAGGAAACACGACTTGGCAGTCCACCTCAGGCTCGGCCTCCGGGTCCTCTGCTGCCCCCTCCATTGCCGGCGGATACCAGGCTGAGGGGCACCTTCTCCTCGGAGCCGCAGCTTGCCAGGGTTCCAACGACGCTGTTGCCACCGGCTCTCCCTGATTCCACACCTACCGCCGCTGGCGCTGGCTGCGGTACACGGGCGCCCACTAATGCACCACATACCGATGCGGCCGCTGCCACTGGCCCTACCCCCGCCGCTGCCACCACTGACACCCGCTGCCGACCGCCCATGCCGCTGCCCCAGCTGCCACCCTCTGCCACCCGCTGGCTGCTGGCAATGGTTGCCCAGCGCTGACGCTGCCCCTACCGCCCTGGCCTGCTGCCCCCACCAGCTGCGGCTGCCCCTGCCTCCCCCACCTCCCTCTGACACCTGCTGCTGCACACTGACGCCCACTAACCCGGTACCTACCGCTGCTGCCGCTGGGGCCCAACAGTGACTCCCAACACTGACTCCCGCTGACGCCACTGACACCCCGCCTCTGCTGCCGCAGCTCCTGACGCCCACTGACGCCGCTGTCGCCGCGGCGCACTCTGCTGACGCTTCCGGCGCCCCTCCCCATGCTGCCACGGCTGACCCCGCCTACCGCTGGCCCCGCCTACTGCTGACCCCGCCTCTACCGCAGCCGTGGCCCCTGCCTCCACCGCCTCCCTCTGACACCTGCTGCGGCACACTGACGCCCACTAACGCGGCACCTACCGCTGCTGCCGCTGGGGCCCAACACTGACTCCCGCTGACGCCGCTGACACCCCGCCTCTGCTGCCGCAGCTCCTGACGCAGACGCCGCTGTCGCCGCGGCGCACTCTGCTGACGCTTCCGGCGCCCCTCCCCATGCTGCCACGGCTGACCCCGCCTACCGCTGGCCCCGCCTACTGCTGACCCCGCCTCTACCGCTCCCGCGGCCCCTGCCTCCACCGCCTCCCTCTGACACCTGCTGCGGCACACTGACGCCCACTAACCCGGCACCTACCGCTGCTGCCGCTGGGGCCCAACACTGACTCCCGCTGACGCCACTGACACCCCGCCTCTGCTGCCGCAGCTCCTGACGCCCACTGACGCCGCTGTCGCCGCGGCGCACTCTGCTGACGCTTCCGGCGCCCCTCCCCATGCTGCCACGCTGACCCCGCCTCTACCGCACGCACGCCCCTGCCTCCACCGCCTCCCTCTGACACCTGCTGCGGCACACTGACGCCCACTAACGCGGCACCTACCGCTGCTGCCGCTGGGGCCCAACACTGACTCCCGCTGACGCCGCTGACACCCCGCCTCTGCTGCCGCAGCTCCTGACGCAGACGCCGCTGTCGCCGCGGCGCACTCTGCTGACGCTTCCGGCGCCCCTCCCCATGCTGCCACGGCTGACCCCGCCTACCGCTGGCCCCGCCTACTGCTGACCCCGCCTCTACCGCAGCCGTGGCCCCTGCCTCCACCGCCTCCCTGACACCTGCTGCGGCACACTGACGCCCACTAACCCGGCACCTACCGCTGCTGCCGCTGGGGCCCAACACTGACTCCCGCTGACGCCGCTGACACCCCGCCTCTGCTGCCGCAGCTCCTGACACCCACTGACGCCGCTGTCGCCGCGGCGCACTCTGCTGACGCTTCCGGCGCCCCTCCCCATGCTGCCACCGCTAACCCCGCCTACCGCTGACCCCGCCTCTACCGCAGCCGGTCCCCTACTTCCGCCCCCGCTGCTGCTGCCCGGGTCGCTGACTCCAGCTGAAGCCAACGGCGCCTGCTGCTATGGCTGCCATACGCTGCCACCCAATGACCCCGGGGCTGCCCAACCCTGGCGCTGCTGCCGCCTCCACGGAAGCCCGCTGCCACATCCGCTGCTGCCAGCTGCCCCTGCCGCTGCCTGCCTGTCGCCGCCTGCTGCCACTGCCTACTCCCGCTGCCACCGCCACCTGACACCACTTGGCTGCCACCACCCGCTGCCACCTGCCTATAGCTTCCTGTCACCCTTACTGCTGCCGCTTCCTCCGCTGCCTCCTGCCACCTGCTGCCGCTTACCACTGCCTGCCTCGGCCGCCTGCAACCCGCTGCCTGTCGCCACGTATAGCCACTTGCTACCCCCGCTGCCCCGGCGTCTGCCCCCGCCTGCCTGCCCACGCCGCCTGCCTGCCGCCCGCTGCCGCCTACCCCGCCACCTGCCACGGCCTCCGCCACAGCTTGCTGCCACCACCTGCCGCCACCCGCCTACCCCCGCTGCCGCAGCGGCCTGCCCCAAGGCCTGCCGCCGCCTGCCTCCCGCCGCTTACCACTGCCTGCCGCTGCCGCGGCAGCCCGCTGCCTGCCGCCACGTACTGCCGTTGCCTACCGCCATGTCGCTGCCTGCCACCGCCGCCTACACTGTGCTGCCTGCTGCCCCCGCCTGGCGCGACCACTGCGGCCGCTTCCCGCTGCCTGCCTGTGACCACCGTCTACCCCACTGCCTGCTGCGGCGTGCCGCCGCTTACCACTGCCTGCCCCCACCGCCTGCAACCCGCTGCCTGCCCCGCTGCCGCCGCCATCTGCCCCCTCCTGCCACAGCCAGCTGCCACTGCCCACCCCCGCTGCTGCCGCCTGCCGCTGCCGCCGCCTGCCACTGCCGCCTGCAGTGTGCTGCCTGACGCGGTCACCGCGGCTGCTTCCTGCTGCCTGCCTGTCGCCACTGCCTACCCCCGCTGCCGCCTGCTGCTTGCTGCCCCTTGCTGCCACTTACCGCTTCCTGCCGCCGCTGCCTACCCCCGCCACCGCCACCGCCTGCCTGCCGCCGCTTACCACTGCCTGCGGCTGCCGCCTGCAGCGCACTGCCTGCCACCGCGTACTGCCGCCATCTGCCCCTGCCTGCCACAGCCTTCCTGCCCATGCCGCCACCTGCCCTCTGCAGCCGCTGCAGCCTGCCCCCGCTGCCTGCCATGGCCTGCCTGCCACAGCTTACTGCTGCCTGCCTCCACCACTTACACCTGCTGCCGCCACTGCCTGCCAGCCCCCGCCTGCCCCGCTGCCTGCTGCAGCCATCTGCCTGTCGCAGCTTACCTCTGCCTGCCTGCCACCGTTGCCTGCCGATGATGCCTGCCGGCTGCCTCCGGCCCCCACTGCCGCTGTGACCCTCTGACCTCACTGTCACGCTGCCGGAGGAATCAGTGAGCCGGCCAGCACTCTGAGAACTGTAGGTGTCGATAGGCACTGGCTGGGCTTGATCCTGGGGCCTCTCTTCCACGCGTAGGCCTGGCTGCCGCCCACACTGGGGGCCGAACCCAGAGCTACGGGGTACTCTGGTAGGTGGACGGCCTGGCGACACCGAGGGGCGGTATACCCTGGCTGAGAGCGCCGCTTGGCAGCCCCTCCACCAGGGAACACCCAGTGTTCCAACGGCGCCACCGCCATGGCTCTCTGACTCTCTGGCATGAGGCTGGATGTCTTCAGCCCGCGCCAGAGCTCTGAGAATTGTAGGGAGCCATAGGCAGTGGTGGTGCCTGATCCTGGGGCCTCTCTGCCCTGCCACTATAGAATCTCTAGGGGCAGATCTAGGTCTTGGGCAGGGGTCACTGGCTGCAGCCCACACTGCAGGCGAGCCCCCAGCTGCTGGGCTACTTGGCGGTTAGGCAGTGTGGGGACATGAAGGGGAGGGACCCTGGCCGAGAGCCCCTCTTGGGAGCCTGTCTGCGTGTCAACCACCCCGATTGACCCCCTAGGGTTCCAACAGGGCTGCTGCCATGGCCCCCTGAAGTCACTGGTGCATCCCAGACACCATCACCTTGTGCCACTGCTCTCAGAATTAATGTAGGGGGTGGTAGGCCGAGGCTGCCCATGATCCTGGGGCCTCTGCCATGCATAAGTCCCGAACGGGAGCCACAGCACTGCCCACAGAGCCCCGGGGGCACCTCCGGTGGGTGGGCGGTGTGGGGACACCGAGGGGCAGGACCCTGGCCGAGAGCACCTCTTGGCAGCCCCTTCACCCCAGGAATGGCCCTGATTGACACCGCTCCCAACTTTGCCCACAAATTCCCAGCCCCCTGGAGCTGTGGCCAGACACCTCCCAGGGCCCTTAGCCCATTACCCCTCACAGTCATTAGTGCCCCTTTTCTGGCCCAATGACTCTTTGAGGCCATTTCCTACAATATTACCTTCCTGCCTCCAAGCCATTGCCAGCCACTTCGTGGCTTCCTCGTGTCCTTACTACAACTTCCCAGGCTGCCGGAGCCTTCTCTGGTCACATCTCAGCACCTGCCCTACCCCAGGGACATTGCCAGCCTCTTCTGAACCTTTCAGACATAAGAGCACGGACCTTGGCAGTGTAGGGCCCACTCCTCTGGGAAGGAGGGATATGGGGTTTCAGGCTGCTGTCCTTGATTACAATAGTTTCTGTGCCTCTCCACAGGAATCCCATGTGTATTGGATCTTTAAAGCTGACAAAAGGTAGAGACTTTACGGTCCTCAAAGAGTCAGTGGGGTGCTCTCTTTTTACGGTCCTCAAAGAGTCAGTGGGGCGCTCTCGAGGTACCTCTCTCTAGGAATGGAGCTTTAAAAAGCTATTGTATTCCCAGGAAGATGAAAGATGGTGAGCAAGTGTTTGAAACCCTGTCTCTGGAACATCAAGCTTGGACAACGACACCATAGAAATACACTTCTGGAGGGACCAAGGGGTTATTGCGTGGAAAAACGAAACCGAGTTTTGTTTTCCTGGAGTGTTATCCAGACCAGTGTGGGGAGGTTACTGGGAGGCCAGTTTAAGCTTGCTGGAAGGAGAAAGTTAACACTATGAGCTGCCTGTGTCTCTGGAGGGAGTTATCCAGACACCAGGTAATTTTGAAAGAGGGCAAGAGAGAAGTATTAGGGTAAAGCATGCCAGGGGCCCTTCTGACTGTGAAATTCCATGATACTTCATCGTCTGTTCTCTTGGATTTGAAAGCCACTTGTTAAACGCCCATTTTGTTGGAGACAGAGGGAAGATGGTGGAGAAGTAGGGGACCCTATTTCAACTGGTCCCCTGAATTTAGCTGGACATCTACCAAACCATTCTGAACACCCAAGAAATCAGCCTGAGATGTAAGAATATATATCTGCATACCTACAAGCAGAAAATAACCAGCGGTCTCGAGGTATGAAGGACTTTGTACTCTGTACATTCCCT